TATTGCCATGTGTGTGGAGTTGTAATGCGATCTTAAACGCAAACTTAATTCACCAATGTATTTATAATGTGACGCACAATTTGTTGGGACCACAAATGTACAACACGTAATAACACAGGTATGAGAAAATAGGTAATTACATTTGTATGTTATTCATCTTAGAGCTGAAATGTAATATTTGTAATTTGACACGCACAAATTCTCACCAAATATGCCCTAAAAGAAATGTTACATTCAAGCTCTGGGGAATTCATTATATTTCTCTCCCACCCTTTCAATTGCCAGTTTATTCCATTTGTGATGAGTCAAGAACCTGGTTGTATTTCTATACCATAAATAGTGTAACAACCATAATGACGTTCGGATAATAAGTGCATTACTGTTATTAGGAGGAAATCTGCAAATGAGGCCCAAGGCGTTTTCAAGAGGTTCCTGCTCTCATTTATGAAATATTCACACACACACACTTCTATGTTTGGCGTTTTTTTAATTGAATTATGCTTTCCTGTGTCTCTTACGAATTTTATTTTTATAACTTCATCATCATTATCATCAGCCATGTTCAATCCACTGCTGGACAAAGGCCTCCCCAAACTGCCGCAACCTCTCACCATCCTGCCATGTGATGGTCCACCGAGCACCTGCACACGAACCGATTTCATCGCTCCATCTCTTTGGCAGTGGTCCTCTTGACAAGATTCCTTGGCTACCGCTCCATTGTTTGAATTAGCATGCGCCATATCGTTACATATTCCATCTAAATATTTATGTTGAAAAGTTTACAACTATGGCATCCTTGTTAACGAAGCTATTGCATCTCACAGGAATGTAGGCGAGTTTTTTTTTAAATATACATTTACAGGAAAGCTACTGCAAACAAATTCACAACCACCTGACTCAAAGATTGCGACCTTATAAGAGGAAATTTTAAAAATCATGCTTTCGAGACCTTCACTGCATTAGGGTCAGATTACAATGGATATACCAGGGTTATTTAACGTTACTGTTAAAATACCGCCCAAATAGAATTGAAACATGCTCCAGTGATGCATCTTTCATAGAAATGCAAGTAAACATTTCAGATGATAACTAATGCAAACACGGATGCTCGTATGCTACGAGTTGTTTTATTTAAATATAAATTCTCAATATATATTTTAAATGTCAAATTACATCCACAACCACATATTTGGACCAAAGAGCGTTTTCCCTCCGGGGCTCTCTGACCCATTGCTAGCTAGGCTGCAAATCGTATAAACTAATCATGTACGTTCTACATATTCTTGGTTCTTTCGGTAAAGTCACGTAGAAGGGAAACAATAAAATAATAAAAATATAAAACAATAAAATTCTCACGTTTCGACTGCAACACAAGCAATCATCATCAGGTGTGAAAACCACAGCAAGAAAATTTGAAAAAAGTGGCGTTTTTTTAACGTTAGCACCACGGAGAGCGATTTGACAGTTTATTCAGATGGACGAGTCCATCTATGTTCGGAAAAGAGGAGGGGGGAGAGGAAAATAATGGATGCGGTCTGAAAGACACCGTAAGCGTGAACAATCAATTAAGACCCGAAATAGTTTATCAAATACTTCCAATGATTGCAAAACCAGAATACATCTTCTCGGTTGAAATTGTCTCTGTTTGTATATGTGGTAGCCTCATGAACAAATCTCTCATGGTAGCCAGATGGCTTGCAAATAACCTCTGTCTTGAAGAAGTCAATGTCATGTGAGCCTACTGAATTATAACAGTGATCTGCCACGGTCGAGGTGTTGGTCTTACCGTGTTTTAGGTCTGCTTTGTGTTCACGAATGCAAAAGCTTGCCTATCAAGTTGCAGGGGAACGTGCTGTCTGCTGCACCAACAGACCACTTTAATCTCGGTGTTCTGATCTCTTCGTCGGAGCAGGAGGCTTTCGAGTCATAAATCACTGCTATGGGTACGTTCGTCGTGGCACTTATAATGGGAAAACACAGTGTGCCGACCTTTGAAACGGACCATACTTCTATAACATGTTGCCAAAACGAACCCACATCATGCCTCTCAAGAGTAAGCCACGAGGAGGGGCATTATGGCCAACTTAAACACCTATAAGCCAAACATTTCCTCAAGAAAACAGGGCATTCATTGTGGAGAAGTTATGTGCAGATTATCAGAGTTGGCTTTTAGGATCTGTAATGGTGAAGTCGCTTATCCTCCCAGGGATTAATTTTGTCTCTGGGTGCTCAACCAGAACATTAAATGGAATTCTGGTCAATCCCTGAAATGCGTGGTACAAAAGTTGTCGTAATTCACCAGAAAATGAACACGCAGCCGCAAGATAATGTTGCACATTTCCACAAAAAACGCCATTAATCAGCTCACTCACACTTCCCAATTCCAGCCGAGGGTGGCTGTGTGATCCTTTGCAAAAGTTAAAACAAAATCTGGGAACCATACCACGCGGCCAACTCCCATACATTTTCACGGATGACACGGGATTTATTTATCTTACATTTCTGCAAGAGCAATTGATCACTTTCTGCAAAGCGCACATCGTACTGGGTTGGAAGTTTGTTTCATTGCAATCGTTGGAACACGGCCATCTTACTCACGCTACATAAACAGTGGTCAATGTTTCTGAAATTACGACCGTCAACTGGATTTATTGTCGGTGTTTCGTTCAGCTAGGTGCAAGGGACTCATTACACCATTATCAAAATACGTGATCATAAATCAGCTTTTGACACTGAAGTGGTAACGCACACGGTGCTGCTCTGTATTGCACTTGATTTCTTTCAAAATCTTTCCATCTCATTTCTAATGACTTCATATTTGTATGGAATTTTTTCTTCTTTGGTTCTTTCGGTAAAGTCACGTAGAATGAGAATAAAATAATAAATTGATAAAATAAAATAACACAATAATATTCTCACGGCGTTTCGGCCACAACACAAGCGGCCTTCATCAGGTGAAGGGGACGAGACTGTCTGGAGGACAGCGCTGGAGACAGTCTCGTCCCCTTCACCTGATGAAGGCCGCTTGTGTTGTGGCCGAAACGTCGTGAGAATATTATTGTTATTTATTTTATCAATTTATTATTTTATTCTCATTCTACGTGACTTTACCGAAAGAACCAAAGATGAATCATTGCAGTCACGAAAGCTTTAAATCTAAATTGTATGGAAATTGTTTTAGTCATGGGGGAAAAAAAACATTTAATTTTTGTTAAATGCAAAATATTTCAACTTTCGTGGAGACAAATGCAGGTATGTCGCGGTTTACGTCGAGGATCTGTTCCTGAGAAATTCAATGAAAATCGAAAACCGTAAATCGAAGCAAGTTTTTATAATTGGTGGAATAAAGGGGATGCGTTTACAGCGGTGCAACCTATATTGCGATGTTTTTGTTAATGAGTTATATTCATATACTCTTTGGTTCTTTCGGTAAAGTCACGTAGGTATAAAATAAATCACGTTTCGGGCGCAACACAAGCGTCCGTCATCAGGTGGGAAAGCATTGTCTGCTGCTAATGCAGCAGGCCATGCTGATACCGAAAGAACCAAAGAGTATGGATTCCTGCAGTCACGAAAGCTTCAAATCAAGATTATATTCAAATACATATATGAATAAAAATGAATATATTTTATACTTTGAGTGTGTTTTACCTACTGTACTGGGCTGCTGGCTTCGCTTGCTGGGTAGGTGATCAGGCGGTGGTGGAGTTATGCGGTAGTCGAGTTATGCGTAGAAACCCAAACAATATTGTACTCAACACTAGTGTACAGCGGTAAAATGTAACACAAATTATACTGGGTTCAATAATATACAGCAGACTGTACCAAAAAAAATCACAAAAATACTGTACATGAATAATATATTGTCCTCTACAGTACATAAAAGGGGGAAGACAGAAATTGGGGTATTACTGTGATTGTATGAGAGTTACGATACAGTAATATGAATAAAAACAACAGCTATGAATTGGTTTCAATGCAACATTTCCACATTCAAGGAGACATTAGTGGATTGCACTCCATAAGAATGCCATGCACCCTAAAAAAAAAGAGTTGTTTCTAATGTAGGTGCAGCGGGTAATTTTATCGTGCAATACATTAACTATGACAGCGACGCAATAACCAGTCATGGCAAATAATGTCACAGGATCTTTAATGACTTTCACTTTCCAGCAGTGCCCATGCTTTGGTAATGACTTACATTAGTGGATAATAAAACCACTGACCCAAAGCAAACTCTCTCGTTGGAAAGAGTCCTTTAGGTCACTGGCAATCCGGCCATGTTTACATTACGTTTTAAATTTTAAAATGTACTTTAAAAAGGCATTAATACCCCCATTGTGCCATTATTAAATTCCACCTCCATAGAAAATATTACTTAATACCAAAAAACACCTAACCCGGACATTAGCACTTGAACATTTAACCAAACCAGCCCTCACCAAAACACATGGATCAAATATAACACAACTGTAATTAAACTGGTCCTTCTGTCAGAGGGATCAATCACTTGTTTTATAAGGAATAAAACAAGCATGTGTATTAGCGCACGTCCGATTAGCACGGTTGGCTAGATACAGTGCAGAAGAAGTTCAACATACCTGATGATTATTCAAGTTATCCGAAGAACATTCAGCCTTAGTACAATACTTCGTTTTAACATTGAACGGTTGTAGTATTTCACGATTCATAAATGGCTGTCAGTTATTCTAAGAACATTAAGTCTTAGTACAATACTCTTTAATATGTAATGGTTGTAGCTCACAGGAGCACCGCTCTAATATGGACCTCAATCAGATAAAAAATTTAACGCAACATTCAAATCAACTCACATCAATGCCAAAAACAAACGTCTAATTGTCTATATTCTTGGTTCTTTCGGTAAAGTCACGTTGAAGGGAAACAATAAAATAATAAAATATATGTAAAACATAAAATTCTCATGACTGCTTGTGTTGCAGGCGAAACGTCGTGAGAATTGTATTGTTTTTTATATGTATTTTATTATTTTATTGTTTCCCTTCAACGTGACTTTACCGAAAGAACCAAGAATATGAATCACTGCAGTCACGAAAGCTTTAAATAAAAATTTAAGTCTAATTGTCTGTCAATAGCTGATGTTAGCAGGATTCTATATCATTTCATAAGTATCTCCATAACAACTCATTCTGAACACACAAAACCAATATTTTGCACAAGTTGATGCTCGAACACGTGCGAGTGTGTAGAAATGCAAATGATGGGAATAATGCCCGTTAGCTTATAACTATGTATGCATTTGAGTGATAATGGGTATGGACATGCTTAATAACGTGTGTACACATGTATAAGTGTATTGTACTAACAGCATTCATCCAAAGCGCCTGTTTAGTCTAAAAAGTAGTTCTTTGTCATTTTATATTTCAGTGTACACCTCTCTGCATGAAGACCAATCAAGTTTGAATTGCATTCCTGGTTACATATTTGCATTTGTAATCGGTTTAATTAATAACACTCATTCTAACGGGTGTTTCACTTCCATTATTTTCACACTTCAAACAATTGAACAAAAGCACCTTTGAGTGCCAAGATGCCGCATAACCGATATCACTACCATTATTATTACAGCGTGCACATCACTGCTGATGAGGCTCGATCAAAGTGCTCAGTGGCATATTTTTTGATCTGCACACATTCACACGGATATGGAGCCCTCGCGGAAATTGGTCTTGCCGATGAGCGTGTTGATGAGGGACGAGCGGCCCTGCTTGCTTTCAGCTTGCGCCGCCTTAATCACCTCGTCGATCTGTGACTCTTTCTCCTTCCCCAGGAGAAATCCCCGTGCTCCTAAGCCATCGGCCACAACATGGTAATCTAAGGGACATTGGTGGGTGGGGGGAGAACGGGCGAAGAGTACAACATTTACTCCAGAACAAGTATCCGTGTTGGGTTATCTGTGCTGGTAGTGGAGTGGCAGACGGGAAAAATTAAAAGCAGTAGCCCTGCAATTTCTTGCTCAGACCACTGCCGGTGGAAGGACTTCCACTCGAGGGAGCTCTATTGAGTGCCTGTCAAGGGTATTTTAGCCTACTCCTGCAAAATGACCAGATATCTTGTAAGAAGCTGCAGTGCCTATACACTTACCCCGCTACACGTGACCTGCCGATACACTTACCGTGGCGTACCAATTTCTACTGCTGGGTGGAGAGAGGCGAGGTGGATGGAATAAACGTGTCCATTATTTAACAACTCTCATGCCAGGATATCAATTTAAACATGTAGCCACTGAATTGCAATATTACCAGCATGTTAAGAATTACACCACAGCAATCTAAGGACAATGGAAAAAGAGCACAATATTGACTCCAGAACAACATAATCCATGCTGGGCTGGTATGCCGGTCGCAATGGCAGACAACACGAGGGACAATTGACTGTTACCTGTGAATGCCAGTCCACAGGCTACGTTGCTGCCAAGCATTGGCACTTGTTCCCGAGCAATCTGAGACCAGCACGCGTCATTACCCACCAACGCAATGATCGGTAACTGCAACGCACGCACACAAAGAGCATATTTTGATGTTATTCCTCAACGAGGTTAATCTGCTTTTTGTGTTCAGTTTGTCGTCCTTCCCCTGCACCGCCGATCTGCATGGTCAGCTTTTTATGGTGCAAAAGAAGTTCCAGATATATACAACCGCTGAAAACAATTTTGCATTCAAAAAGTCTCAGAGAAGTACACTGTGATTACTGGAGTGCATTGTTGTTACTGTATTTGCTGTGTAAAATGATAATTATGTAATTTAGTAACGTAGTACGTATAAATGAAGCCTTTCAGTAACGCTTAGTTTTAATTAGTGTCACATTTTAAAGAATCCATGATATACCGTGCAGCAGAGATACATTTTCATTTTTGTTTTAGAAAGTTGAGAAAACTGGATGTATTGGCAATAGAGGTAACTTAAGACACCCAGAGCAGCAGAAAGACAAAGAAACTGCCTTCTCTCCCCTGCACTGAGCAAACTTGTGATAGCTTATGACAAATTAATATTTACTACAAAGAGTGTGTTGGTTATGACAAGACAGAGATAAACAGAAGGAAATGAAGACATTTTAATAGCGATTGTATAACCAATGTGTGCATTGATGGGAAACAGGAGTAAGGATTGAAAGATTGGTTGAAAGCATTTGTCCATATCCAAGCATCATAAATTGCAAAGATTTTGAGAGCAGCTGACAACAAACTCCTGCGTACAATTTAACAAGCTGCATGAAGAGCACTGGTACCTTGTGTCGGGTGAACGTATCAAACTCAGCCATGCTGAACCCCAGTGAGCCATCTCCATAGATGATCCATACCTACAACACCCGTCCAAACGAATCAGATACTTCACGCAAGCATTGCTGCTTTAGGCAAAACCTTGGGAGGAATATTGACGGGCAAAAAATGTTCAGTACATAGAACGACATGGCAATGAGACAGAGCTGGGCTTGTTTGGTTGTTCAATGACTTTCTCCAGCATTTGATTATAATTATCGGTGGGAGAAAGTCGAGCGTCTCCCCGCTGGAATGAACAATGGTGGTGGCATAAAGCCAGTGGTAGAAATTCTACATTCCCATGGCAGTTGCAAGTGTATTCGGAGGTCAACCATTGTTGATTCAACAAATTTCATCCACCGTTGGAGAGATGGTAGGCTTAGTTTAATGTGGACCAACATTTTAACTTGCAAATTTCCATTTGTTATTTTCAATTTATTCATCCAGGAAAGCCTCACTATATTTTTTTCAGGAGGTAAGTTTTGGAGTGTATGGGGGTGACAGTTGCCACGTGTTTTTTTCCCATTTGAAAAATATGCAGGTAATTTTTCCAATTTCTAACACAACATCACGGGATCTTTAGCATCCACTGTGAAGTAGATGGCACATATTTTATGTTTATTACACCCGCAGTGAGTCAATCAATAAAACCACAATGTCACCCAGTAAAATTCTGCTTGACAGACCTCAGAGTCTGGTCGGCAAAGCTTGGCTCCTAGGGCAAACCCTCCTCCAACACCTAGAGTTCCAAATGCCCCTGAAACATAACAAACAGCACCAGCCGCATCATGTGTATAGTGTAGCTCGTTTCTGAATGTGTCAATTCTGTGTGTATAGAAATACCAAGTATAACCGTTAATCCGTGGGTATCATATATTATCAAGTCACTATGGAGGCTGGAGCAATAACAATAATCATACAATAATATGGTTTTTCCCCTTTTTTTCTGGCAACAAAACTGAAACCTTTTTACACGGATGCATGTCTGCATTAACCACAATACCTGCAGTCAAAATGCAAACAAAAAACATACTATGATAATATATGCATTGTCCTTGAAACTGATTGGTCCACACCAAGAGAGAAAGCCATCCCTTGGTGTGGACCAATCAGTTTCAAGGACAATGCATATATTATCAGAGTATGTTTTTTGTTTGCATTTTGACTGCAGGTATTGTGGTTAATGCAGACATGGATCCTTGTAAAAAGGTTTCAGTTTTGTTGCCAGAAAAAAGGGGAAAAACCCTATTATTATATTTTGGTACTGGCAAAGGAGGTCTAATTAAATAATCATACAGTACGAACTCTAATTTATATACACATTATTAACAAATAGAGTATTTTGCATAATTGTTGTGTGGGCATGATGGTACTGGCCATTTTAACTTACAGGCACTGGCAAGTTGTTTTTAATTATTTTGGGGTATGTGTTCACATTTTCTGTTTAATATTCGACGAAACATTACATTGCACAGTGGTGTAGTGAGCACAATGTACAGTTCGATATATGTACAAATGTGACATTATTTATACAAACTGTAAGAATATAATAAAATTCCACTATCTTCATTCAATGGTGAAAAAGTTAAGTTTTGGTTGCGGTAAAGTTACTTGTAAAAAGTAAATACATATTTACTGAAAAACAAGTTACTTTTTCAAAGTTACTTCCCAACACCTATTAATGGTGTTGGGAAGTTTACAGGAATATGCTTTTGGAAGAAATTATCAAAAGCATATTCCTGTAAACTTGACGAAAGACCAAACAACATCAACATTTATACGAGTCTATGACAAGGTTTGTTCAGGTCATATCTCAAATATTTACTTTGGAAATTTACCAGCTGATTAATTGTAGGTTTTTTTTTTGTCTAATATAGAATGAGGATATTGATTTTGATGGAAGTGGTGATGAAGAGTGTGATATTGGTGAGATTTTTCTTGAATGTGGACGTGATGGAGATTGTAGGATTTATGATGAAAGTAGTTGCGATGATGATGATGATGGTGGTTGTGGGTGACAGTGATGATATTATTACAATGCTAGAATTATACCAGGGTCCAGCCAGCACAGTGGCCCCCGTGGCCGAAGGATGTATGCAGCGCTGCCCACAAAGTCTCCTCCGTCAGCTACGATGAGGCTGTCATCCGCTAGCAAGTCATCCAGGCGGTGCAGAACCTTGAGCGGATTGAGGTGTTGATCTGTCTCCTCCTCTGCCTTCTCGCTGCGATCGGCACACAAGGCAAGGGTCATTCCCATGCGAGGCGCTAAGCTTTAAATCGAAAGATTCACCACTTTCATCATAAAACACTGTCCACTGACTCCCTTCATTGGAGGTCTCCGAGAACTACACATGGCCACCGAGGATGCGTTTGCATGGCTTGGCGATTACACACACACGCTGAATGAATATGAAAATATATTGCAGGCTAATGCATTGGGCAATGTTCATTTGTCAACTCAATTATTGCACATTTACTTTAAATGTCTTAGTATTTTCACACAACATGCTGTAAGGTGTGATTCCCAACTATCGCAGTCATCCAATTTGGATGTGATCTCTGCACTGAAGGGCCATTGCCAAAACCATTAGCCTGAAATGTATTCTAATGAAAACAAAAAATGTTCATGGGATTTACGTGTCATACAGAAACAAAGGCAGCTCTAGATATGTTACTGAGTCATTAGAGGGCAGTACACACGGATTACGCTATGAAATATAATAAAGGTAAAATGTAATCTCAAAAAAATCTAATTTTACCTGTTGGTTTTCTCCTTCTTCTCATCTCCTTGTTTGAGGTCACGAGCCCACTCTTCAGGACACTTGTAGCCCTTGAGTCCAGCAGATAGACTCACCAAGAAGGAGCCAGGATCCCCTAGGCACAACACAAAAGGCACATCACAGATTCTTTTCTTGTTAAGTTGACCAGGCAGATGCTGTTATTGTATTCACATTTTATTTACTATCAAGTTATTTTAAAATAGAATTTAACAATGTTATTAATAAACATACATTTTATAATAAATTACAAAAACAGGACAATTATTACTAGTTCCAAAATATTGACTGATGAGCAAAGCATAAAAAAGGATTGTAAATAAATCAGTAGTTTTATTTACTTCTCAAAAAAATCTGGATCAATCTTGCTAGACGTAACAGTCATTTTATTGCAATAGATTTATTTAAAAGATTTTACGCTGCAACTAATTTTAATAAGGTCATATATTTACCTTGCACAGCCACTGTCGGCTTCCAGAACATGTCTGAATTTTTAAGCAGCTGTGAGCGGTCACGATTTACAGCTATTATCGTGCTTTTCCGACTCAAAACCCGACCATAAGACAGTCGAAAGTCGCACACAGTCCCTTAAAAAGACAACAAAAAAACATTTCTTGGTCAGTTATTACACGCCATGGAGTACATTTTTATCTCAATATTGAGTACTATCAAGTCAAAAATGTCCCCATATTGACCGAGTAGTAAACAATGCTATATTCACATCTAAAACTCCACAGAAAAAACTATATAAACATTGAACATTATTTTCTTGTCAAATACACACAAGTAATTCACCTTTATAAGTACAGTAAAACCTTGGATTGCGAGCATAATTCGTTCCGGAAACATGTTTGTAATCAAAAGCACTCGTGTATCACAGCGAATTTCCCCATAAGAAATAATGGAAACTCAGATGATTCGTTCCACAACCCAAAAATATTCATATAAAAATGATTAATACAAAATACCTTCTTACATTTTTATTATTTAAATTCAATATAAAGTAATCAAATGTATTAATTAAATGTAATCGTGGCTGGTGTGAGGGAGACGAGAGAGAGGAGAGGAGGGTTATTGTGTAGGACGACTTTCACTGTCATGAACGGAATCACTGCTATCTGTTGGCTCACTGGAATCTGTCTTTTTGTGCGACTTTAACAAGGAACCTATCCAATGACACTTGCTTTTGCCTCCTTTTGAGGATTTCGCGGAAATGTGACATTGCATTGTCGTTAAACAGATTCATCGCTCGCACCGCTACAGCCTTATTCATGGGGGGCCATTGTTGCAGCACAGTTACTAAAGAACAGTCACTACACTTGGACACAATAAAGAAAATGCTTTACGCACACACACGTGGTCACAACACTATACAGTTCTATAGTAAACAGTATACGCTCGCACGGATGTTGACTATATGAGTGAGGCACGCCAACTGAGACCGAGCATGGGAGACGATTACCCACAATCCCGCAGCGAGAGAGAGAAGAACCATCGGCTCAGTTGTGATCACGTGACGCTCGGCAGACAAAGCGTATACCTACTACTCGCATTGCAAGACCTCGCTCGTTTATCAAGTTAATAGTTATTAAAAATGTTTGCTCGTCTTGCAAAACACTCGCAGACCAAGTTACTCGCAATCCAAGGTTTTACTGTATGTGGTTTGTAACTAAAGACTGCATGCAGAAATATACACTCCCATGTTGTGTCACAGTTATTAAGGTACGAGTGCCTTGTATTTGACTCAAACTTTCACCTCTCCATTACTGCCTCTGCCATGGGAATGTCAGAACCACTACAGTGCTACCCGGATGCTTGAGTTGCGAAACAATTTGGCTTTTGTGTTTCATATAAAATGTGTGTATAATTGTTGTGGAACACAAAGCAGTAGTTTTTCTACCAACAAACAAGTCTCTGCAGGAATAACTATGTTCAGGGTGCACATAGAATAACCAGCTGGCAGGTACAAAGAGTGCAACTTAATTCAGAGAGATATCTCGCTCTTACCTAAGAGAATCACGAGGTCTGCCTCCTTAAGGGCATCCCTGCGATTTTGCCGGATATGAATGGGGCTGTCCCTTCCGAGCATGCCCCGGGCCATTCCGCCCAGGAAGCATGGAATTCCCAAGTGCTCCAGCGTTTCTCTGTGGGGGGGAAAAAGAACAGCCATCGTGTGTTTAATATAAACACATCAACGGGTGTACGTGAATGTAGACTAGTAGTGCACATACACTTCATTATGAATTTGGTTCATGAGTGATAATGCACCAGGATTCTATTTCAGAGCAAAGTGGCATTGTAAGAACAACAAAAAAACATTGAATATCTCAAAATCTATTAAGTTACAGGTTTTATTTTTGTCCGCATTCTTTTTTGGTGTCAATATTTATTTCTATTTCAAATTACAGAATCATTTTTCTACCATACTCTTTGGTTCTTTTGGTAAAGTCACGTAGGTATAAAATAAATCACGTTTCGGGCGCAACACAAGCATCTGTCATCAGGTGGGAAAGCGATGATCTGCTGCTGAGGCAGACTGTTTTAAAAGGTTTGAAATGGGTGTAGCTCAAGGGTTATAAAGAAGTGGCTGGGGCTAGTGATGTTAATGTGAGAAATTAGCATGATGTTAATGTGAGCGATTAGCATGATGTTAATGTGAGAGATTAGCATGATGTCAATGTGAGAGATTAGCACGATGTTAATGTGAGAGATTAGCACGATGTTAATGTGAGAGATTAGCATGTAACTGTAAGATAGGAGAGTGGCCTCCTCGACGAGAGCACGGAAGTGGCTATGTTAATGTTAGAAATGAGCATGTAAAAGTAAGCTAAGATAGCTACACCCATTTCAAACCTTTTGAAACAGTCTGCCTCAGCAGCAGACCATGCTTTCCCACCTGATGATGGATGCTTGTGTTGCGCCCAGAACGTCGTGATTTATTTTATTTTATACCTACGTGACTTTACCGAAAGAACCAAAGAGTATGGATTCCTGCAGTCACAAAAGCTTCAAATCAACATTTCTCTACCATGATTATGGGAGGTCAAATCCTGTCAAAATTATATATTATAACTATATAAAGACAATCTAACATGATTATAGGTTGTCGAAGATTGAAAAACAGATATTTAATGCATCCAAAAAATGTGTACCGACTTAATGCTCTTTTCATCTACCTGATCTGGTTGGCTGGTACAGGGGGCAGTGTTGCTTGGCTGCCCAACAGAAAGACTGGCTTCTTTGCTCGGCTTACCAACTCCACACAACTCTGCACCTGCACACCGCCACTCACAAGAAGTTAGTCACAATCTGGGGTGAACCTTCATAATTTTTCATGTTATAAGTACACCCTGCTCATTTCCATTGATCACCATAAACCACTGGTATAAACTACAAATTCCTGTGGCATGGCAGGGGCCAGTGTATCCATGGGAAAACCAATGTTGATATCACATATGACCTTTTGGACTCGATAAGGTGAGTAAACTCCAAATTAGGATTTGAACACTGAACATTTTGATTGTGAGTTAAGTGCTCTAGCCACAGCGCCACTTGGCTAGATGAGTGCCGGTAAAAGTTGCATGTGCAAGGGTGTTGTGTTAAGAATTGCCGCTTTTGAATTTAAAAAAGGCACCTGTTCAGGAGTGGCCATGGGCCGCTGAATTGGCAGTGGGGACATGTCCCTGGGCTCCCAAGCTCCGGCAAACAGGTTCCGCAGGTGGTTCAAGAGGTACCTGCAAGCACCCATGCACCGTGAGCTGTGCTGTGTGTCTATGTGTACTAACATGTCAAAAGGGTACGAGTCACCATAAAAAAATAGACTTCTCAAAAAATAATGAACCAGCTCCAAAAGCTTAGTAGCTAGTGTGCTTGCGTCTGCAGTAAAAGGCAAGGGTTATATGGTTCAAAGCACAACTTGAGTGAATTATCAGTTGATGGTGTTAAAGACACGGTTTGCGCTGTTCGCACAGGTAGGGCTTTGTGGAGTGGTTCAAGGTCACCATGGTACTGCCTTATACGGAGAGAAAAAGATGCCGTAATAATGGAGACACTATTTTAGGTGACTGTCGTTTTGAATAGTGTGCTCACCACAAAACTGACTTTTAAATAGATGACTGTTCAACTCCCACAGTCACCCAATATTTAAATATGAATTAGTGTGGACTTATGTGTACTTTTAATATACTTTAATAACCTTTGATAGACTGTACCATCCTGTATAATTGTATACGAGCCAGTTTCGAGAGGGCTCTTGTACGTACCATAATCACACACGTGAAACACAATTTAGGAATTTCATTGAGCGTTTTTCAAGTCTTTAAACAAGTATCTAAATAAAAATATATATTCTTTGGGTCTTTCGGTAAAGCCACGTAGATAGGTTCAAATTAATAAAAATAAAATTACCAAAAACTACGATGTTTCGATCACTACACAAGCAATCGTTATCAATAGGAAAAAACCTTTTTTTTCTCCTGATGATGATCGCTTGTGTTATTTGTCTTAATTTGAACCTATCTACGTGACTTTACCGAAAGACCCAAAGAATATGAATTCCTGCAGTCACGAAAGCTTTAAATCAAGAAAAAGAAATAATATGGTAATGCTAATATTCAGAGCAAACTATAATTAAGCATGTTAAATTCAGGCACAAAAAGTGTTTCAGGAAGAGCACTTAGCTGATATAAACAACAACACATAACATGGGAATAACAAGATGTACACCAGTGGTTATCATACTAAGCTATAAATCCGACAACCTGAGTTCAATTTCTAGCTAAGACTAACATCAGCGGCGACTGGGAATCGACCCTTGAAAATACGTACACTGATCAGGATAATGAAGTATGGTCAACACAGCCCTCACAACTGACCAAGTGTCTTGATGACCTTAATTCAACAGTGGATTTACAAAGGACTGTACATTCATATTATTTAATATACGAACAACACAACTTGAAGTCATAGGTCTAAGGTGAAACAAGGGGCAGACCGTATTTAATTGAGAAAAAATCATGGTGACATACCAGTTGATGATTTTACCCATGAGCCCTTTTGGTGCTGTTTTTGGAGCAAGTTCCTTTTGCACCACGTGGTAAGGGTAGAGGACATCAATAGGCAACTCTACAAACACAGGCCCTATGAAAGACCACACAACCAAACACAATCACATTCATCATCGGATTAAAGTTCCTATCTTAATATCTTTCAAAAGTCATCACAAGGAGCGTATTCATATCAATTGGTCAATAACGTCTCAGTTACATAAAACATACCTATATTTTTAATATTAAATTACATTTTCAAGTGCTTGCCACTCGCTCAAACTCATGTGCGGTAGTGCTCATCTCTGTACTTGTCTAGGAAATGCCACTTATTATGCAGAGCCCAGTTTCCCCAAAGGACAAACACTAATTAACTCCCAGTGTTGATGCCACCGCCAGTGAGTGGCTTGTCTTGAGGAGCATTCATCCATATGGTCTGACAGACTGGAAGCAATGGGAGTAACCGCATGTCACCCCACCACATGTGAGCTGCCAATCCACTTCTTGCAGCATATGCAACTTGACTGAGAGGCGAATTAAAACAATGCAATGTATGCTTACACGTCTTTATATTTAATGGCATGAGTATTGAAAAATGGTTTATATGTGCAACATTACCTGGAGTGCCAGACTGGGCAGTGGCTAGTGCTCGTCTGATCGCGGGGACAATTTCACGCACGGTGCTCACGGTAATACACAGTTTGCACAGCGGCTTGAACAGTGACAGCTGATCGATGTCTTGCAGAGCCCCTCGCCCCTGAACAAAAACAACACCAATCGTTCAGCACACACCGTTGGTTTCTTGCGTGCTTGATAGGGTAGTGCCATGGTTAGAACACTTAACTATCAACAGAAAGGTTTCAAGTTAAACAGTAGTCGTCCTATGCAGTCTTGACCCTAAGCATGGCAATGCGAATTTACCATGACTTGCTTAGGGCACTTTCATTGAGATAGGCACCACCCCATGGCTCAATTAAGAAAGGGATGGTCACATTTTGGTGAGTTAAGCAGTGTACTGTCTTGACCTGACAATATAACAATGATAGTCACAGCCTAATGTTATGTGCACGGATTTGCACGTTATGAATTTCAAAGGGCCCAGTACCTTAAGGAGGGTAGCAGCTGCCCCTCCCATGAGCAATACTGGAGACTCGGCCATCTGAGCATTCTTCACTGCGGTGACAGTGTTAGTGAGACCCGGTCCTGCCGTCACCACAGCAACACCAACGGTACCTGCACATCAAATACATGCATTATCCTATTAACAGGTAATTTCCACAGCCTGGATTGAGCCACGTGTTGAGCATTTCAAGCTTTCACTACATACTGCTGCGGGCATCTTCAGGAGTTAATTTAGGGTTTATACACAGGTGAGTGGATGTAGTAAGACAGTATATTAGTAGGTTTGCATGTGAGTGTGCATCTATGTATGTATACATGACACGCATGTGTGTATTAATCTATGTGCAGATAAGTGTGAGAGTGTGAGTTTCTTTGCACATTTGTGTACATGCACATGATTGGATGTGCAGGTGTCTGTGCGTATAAGTTTATGTATGTGTTGAGAGATGTATAGACACAGTGGGGAGCACAAGTGGTGCATCTGCCACTTATCTCAGTCAACTCATAATAAGTGTCTGTGCCGTGACCTACCAGCAAGTCTACTGCACTTCAAGTGGCGTCAAAAGTGCACTTAGCCTGGCACAAGCGCCGTGGTGATGTCAAGACCATATCCTGGCAAATGGTGGCTGTTGTTATTGGTAGGTACGTCAGTGAGTGTGTCAGTTACTGTGTGCGTGGCAATAGATGTGTGGACAGGTGTATGAATGGGTATGCGGGTGTGTGTGTGTGCAGGTGTGTGGATGGTATACAGGGGCGAGTGTGTCGACAGACGAGTGGATGGGTACATGGAGGTACGGGCGTGTGCGTGTGTTCTTGTGCAAGCAGGCGTGCACGCCAGCACAGCACTTTCCGTCGTGCCCGCTGACCCGAAAGCCGTGCGACGGCGTCGGCAGCAAAGACAGCGGTGGCCTCGTGCCGCACGTCCACCACACGCATGCCCAGCTTCTCGCTGGCCGTGAGGACGGGTGACACGTGGCCGCCCACCAGCGTGAAGACGAAGCGCACGCCATGAGCACGCAGAACCTCCGCCACCAGCTCCCCACCGTGCCGGCTGCTGTCCGATTCCACCTGTCAGCAGGTAACAGATACCGTTCTTCCACCTGACAACCGAGCCATGCAGGTCATGCCGATCCAGCCTCGTGTGGCTCAGGTGACAGGTTTTTCCACTGCAGTGTCTTCTGAAGCACTGTTTATTGTCATGTGATACGTGTTGGGACTCTTGATATGCAATAAAAAAAATTCAGTTCTTTTCTAAGAATAACAGTCACAAGCAGGGTTAAAAAAAAGTCTAAATTAAAATATCAAAGGTAAAAAAGATAAAGCATAATTCCTACGATGTGTTAATTATTGGTGGTGCGTGCTAATGTGGAACTGCAGGAGTGGACGCAGTTCATATTTTTTTATCTCGCTTTTTTTATCAGCACAGACTAGTTGTGCTGATGTGATTTTTTTTAGGAAAAAGAATATGCATTTTATTTTACTTGGAGAAGCAGAAACAAAAAATGCAAAAAAAAACATTACCCTAGATTCATGTGAAAGATTTGCACCGTTTGCAAATGCATTGCGAATTTAGCCACCAGTCATGTGCCTGTGCCTCCTCTGTTATCTGCATTTTTTTTTGCTAATTATTGGAAATCGTGTGGCTCTTTCCACCTATAATTGACGGCGCAAATATTTTTTGCATATTGCAAGGCCCGCGGGCAACAGGCGGCCCCCGATGGCCTTCAGCGCGGGCCCCTGACGTGCGGCCCTCGACAATACGCAACACGTGACAACGCCCTTTGCAGGCGGTGTGGCGGCCCTCACAATGATGTCTTATCGGCGAAAATGCCCCCAACCCCCTTTGAAAAATTAGTGAAGAACACTGGGCTACATGATTCACGATATGGTCCCCTCATATCAACGTGGATTATTCGAGTTATGTTGTACCATAGAGCGTGTGCATTTTCTCATTGGAAGGTTTAGGTTTATGGGACAATGTTATACAGTACAAGGCTATGCATAGTGCACGTAATGAAAATACTACCTGGACAACAAGTTAACTCTTATGGGAATAATGAGCAAAGTCCTAAAGTCTAAAGTGACAAGAGCTTGTACAACCTTGCACCATAAATAGAGATTATCAAGATTATCAAGGTAGAGTTTTTGTTGGTTTTCCCCAAGTATCCCATAAAGAATGAATACTTTAAACAGAAAACAAGAGAAGTGAATGACTGCACCTGTTGTTTTACCAGAAAATCAAAGCAAAGGTGCAACACTTAAACAATGTTTTATGCAGTTATGTGAAATCAATCTTAACACGTCCCAGAATCCATTCTTGGCATGCCTGTTTTCCTGGCACGGGGCAAAAAGAGCACAACTTTTTATGATGGGAAAAAATGAAATTATCAAATATAGAAACGTGTTTGTGGAATAATTCTATTTAATACTGTCCAAGTAGCCTTGGCTTAATGTAATGATTAAAGGCCTAACTGAAATTTGACAGAAAATGTACAAGAGAAAAACTTGCCTTCATGCTCATTTGCAGAGGTATCTCGGAGAGGGATTGTCTTTGTTAAAGGCGTGCACCTAAAGTTGTTACGTAAAAACAAAACCTACACCGCAATTTTCCACTACATATATGAATTCATCCTGCACAAGACGTACAATGGCACATTTCTGTCAAAGGTTTGAAACGCCTTAAGTCAACAATCCATTTGTATCTTTCCGCAATGCTGACTCAACACGAGGCACTGTGCAGTATTGCATTTTTTACAAGTTACACATTTCGTTACCTTAACCAATCCAGGAAGGCTACGGAAACCATCACAAACAAGAGCCAATATCAATTAACTGTTGGATGAAAGTGTCTCCACGTCGTCAAATATTTATTTCGTGCCCGACTTTAGTTATATTTTATTTAAGTTCATAAGCCGGCCTGGTGTTTTGACGTGGTGAAAGTGACACCTGTACTTCCACACACACGCGCAGCACTGCGCTTTAATTACGCGCAGACCTTTACAAACGGAACATCCAAGCGTTCATTGCTTGGTAAGTATAAGCTAAAGAGCTTAACCATTCTAGTGCATGTGCCTTCGTGATGTTCATATAATCCTATTAGCAGCAGGTGCGCCTTACTCTATTTAAGTCAGCGTCCATTGTCTCCCAATGCATCATTGCACCGTCACAAGTTAGCGCAAAGTTGAAGGGACAACTACATTTGCCACTGCGCTTAATCACACCAATTTAGAGTCAGTCCGTCCGTCGGTCAATGCCAAAGTCAACCGGCGCTTGTGCGCTCCTCTGGGAAAGAGGGCCGCGGCCTCAGACACACTTCCAGCGACTCACTTTGTGCAGGAGCTGATAGAAGACGCCGAGCTTCCTGACGAAGCAAGCCGCCGCCATGCACAGCGCCGTCACCACGACCAGGGCGGCGCACTCAAAGGCGCAGCAGCAGCCCATGGGGCCCGCCGGTCGCGTTCAAAGTTACAACAACAACAACAAAAAGAGAGAAGGAAGGGAAAATAAGTGGGGGGGGGGGCACAAAATCGGAGAAGTAAACACGACGCGTGGGCATCGACAACACCGCTACGGCGACTCCGAGGGCGCGTGCAATACGAAACGCGCTTTCCAATGTGTGAGCGAATTGGGCGAGACGCGGCCATGTTGGTATGGGGTAGAACTTCGCGTCGAATGGGGCGAGACGCGGCCATGTTAGTACGGGTACAACTCCGTGTCGAAAGGGCGAGACGCGGTCATGTTGGTATGGGGTAGAACTTCGCGTCGAATGGGGCGAGACGCGGCCATGTTGGTACGGGTAAAAAACTCGCGTCATTCTCAAATGTATATATATAGGATCCTTTTGTCAGGATCGAATTTATTTTAAATATGTAAGAACATGTTCTTATTCTTTGGGTCTTTCGGCAAAGCCACGTAGATAGAAAAAAAAATAATATAAGAACATGCTTTACCCTTTCTGGCCATAAATTAAATGTGAAGACGTTCGAACACCAAATACATACCAATTTACAAGCTATCAAGTTTGCAGGCACCACGCATACTTGTGGCAAACATAATAAATGCATTGGCTTGGAATCTCCTTTTATTTCTGTATCAGCTGTGATACGTACAGTACCCATTTGCACTGCTGGCTGAACAGGGGTGGATAGTATTTTTTCATTTAAAAACTGACCCGCTTCTAACACCCGCGCCGGGAAGTCGAATCTTCTGGATTGTAATTCCAGTATGCGAACCAATGTACACGTTTTGATAAATAGACAACACTGCACATCGCGCGTGTGTTCGTTGAACTTCGTTCGCACCGTACGCGGTTAACCGCACGTAACCGATCCTTTAATAGTAGCCATTTACAATATTCGTACAACCATTTATTGCAATATTGAGCGTGTTAATTAATCAATGTGCTAGGAACTTCAGCAATCTGAAACGGGCAAAAATAGACGGTGGGGACGGGATTTTTTTTTTTAAACAATATAATTATCGCCGATACTTATATCGTGCGATACATCGTCAGCATATCGCCAGCCGAACAGAGAAAGCAAAACGGGCTTTGAAAAAAATAAAAATAGGTTTTACCCTTTCTGTTAAAGGTGTTCAAACACCAAATATAAACCTTTTGCAAGAAATTCGAGCACTGCATTAACCACACGTACTCGTGGTGAACATGCAAACAACAATTTTCTGACAATAAATGCCATTGTCTTTGAAACTTATTCTCACTTAGCAGTGTCAGAGCAGCTAAACAACGCCAAAAGGCGAGCAGCACAAGGACCATGCACGGTCAGGGGTGAGCAGCTACAACATGTGATACCCTTTTCGCCAGTAGCAAAGTATGAAAAAATAGCGTTCACCCTTTCCGGCAAATAAAAAAAAACAAGATGTTAAGACGTCCAAACACCGAAATTTAAAATAAAATTCGCAAGGAATCGAGTACTGCATTCAACCCAAACGCACGCACTTTGCGGTGATGACAAAAAAAACGCGTTTTGTTTGTCCCGGCAGAGTCGCCGTAGCGAGGCAGGCGCAACCTTTGTGGTAAGTGAACCTCATCGCACTCCCGCTCCTCGATCATTTAAAACAACGACAACAACAAATAAATAGCCACAACACAAGTCGACGCATCCGTCGGCAACGCAGCGGCCTCAGATGGGCGACGGGGTGCCACGCCGCCGCCTTCGTTGGAAGTAAAATAAAAGGCGACGTTTTCGGACAAAAAAAGGGGCTGTTGCCCGAAACGTCGCCCGTTGTATATTTTGTCATTCTCGAGGGCCGCGGCGTTGAGTTTTAATTGTACGCGAACCCCGCGGCTGTAAACTGCAGTACCCAGCATAATAACAACGATGAATAGTGCCGCGATGGGCATCGCGTTGTACGCGCTAGAAATCCTTGAAGCTTGCCATGCGGCGTTGGCGACCGGACCACTCGGCCGCCTTGCAGTTGCAGAGGTACTCCGGCCCCGGGTCGATTCGATGTCCCGAAATAATGTAGGGGTTGGTGGTGGTGGTGGGCAAGCTTCTTACCCCCCAGCAGTGGTAGTGTATATTTATGCGATCTAACCCCCTCCCCTCCCCCCACAAAAAAACCTGTATTATGGATGATATTGGTCACGAAAGCCTACGTGTTAAACTGGTGTAGCGACATCAAGGATGTCATCAAGGATGTCACTGTATGGTGCCGGCCCGGAAGGCTCGTGCCGTTCGATGTTCCTACATCGTGGACAGCACCGTGTGGGTGGCTGTGTGTAGTACCAGCCCTAGCGTGGACAGCACCGTGCGGGTGGCTGTGTGTAACCCCGGCCCTAGCGGGGACAGCACCGTGTGGGTGGCTGTGTGTAACACCAGCCCTAGCGGGGACAGCACCGTGTGGGTGGCTGTGTGACACCAGCCCTAGCGGGGACAGCACCGTGTGGGTGGCTGTGTGTGACACCAGCCCTAGCGGGGACAGCACCGTGTGGGTGGCTGTGTGACACCAGCCCTAGCGGGGACAGCACCGTGTGGGTGGCTGTGTGTAACACCAGCCCTAGCGTGGACAGCACCGTGTGGGTGGGTGTGTGTAGTACCAGCCCTAGCGTGGACAGCACCGTGTGGGTGGCTGTGTGACACCAGCCCTAGCGGGGACAGCACCGTGTGGGTGGCTGTGTGTAACACCAGCCCTAGCGGGGACAGCACCGTGCGGGTGGCTGTGTGTAGTACCAGCCCTAGCGTGGACAGCACCGTGAGGGTGGCTGTGTGTAACACCAGCCCTAGCGGGGACAGCACCGTGTGGGTGGCTGTGTGTAGTACCAGCCCTAGCGTGGACAGCACCGTATGGGTGGCTGTGTGTAGTACCAGCCCTAGCGTGGACAGCACCGTGCGGGTGGCTGTGTGTAACCCCAGCCCTAGCGGGGACAGCACCGTGTGGGTGGCTGTGTGTAGCACCAGCCCTAGCGGGGACAGTACCGTGTGGGTGGCTGTGTGTAACCCCAGCCCTAGCGGGGACAGCACCGTGTGGGTGGCTGTGTGTAGTACCAGCCCTAGCGGGGACAGTACCGTGTGGGTGACTGTGTGTAACCCCAGCCCTAGCGGGGACAGCACCGTGTGGGTGGCTGTGTGTAGTACCAGCCCTAGCGGGGACAGCACCGTGCGGGTGGCTGTGTGTAGTACCAGCCCTAGCGGGGACAGCACCGTGCGGGTGGCTGTGTGTAGTACCAGCCCTAGCGGGGACAGCACCGTGCGGGTGGCTGTGTGTAGTACCAGCCCTAGCGGGGCTTGGTGAACACTGGGATAGTGCAGGCACCACGCACAGCATGTGGTGGGGGCTTCCCCCCAGGGGGAGGGGGTGAGCGGCAGCCCAGGGGCAGTGTTGCCCTGGGCCGTGGCACTCTGGTTGACCCCGTGGACACGTGATCCGGAATGTCCACACAGGTGGCCCCTGGTGGGGAGACTGGTGGGTGATCACGTGTCCGGAGAGAGCTCTTGAGAAGGATCGAGAGGGAACGAGAATGTTTAAGGTGGACGAGGCCGAGGGCGGAGCTCCCCCCACCGGAGTGGGATATAAGGCGGATCCCTGCGAGGGTGACCGGGGGTCTCTTCGTTCTACAAGCTGGAAGCTCTGCGTCTCAAGCTGGAAGCGCTTCGTCCTACCAGGGACCACATGGCCGGAGATCCGAGTGAGGGTCCGACCCTTTGTAGCTGTAACTCCCCTGTATAGTGCAGCTAGCTGGGTGGTCACCACCCTAGGTTGTATCTGGTAAAGGGGCAGTTACCCCTTTGTGTTACGGTGTTACAAATAAAGGTGTTGCCTTTAAAAGGAACAACGTCTGCGACTCAGTTGAACTCACTACACTAGTGTAGATGGATACCACCACAATAACCACATTGCCTAAAGTGTGGGTGCGCTCACCTCGTCCAATTCATCTGGAAGAAGAGACCAAATACCCCCCAAAGAGCTCTCTCTTGTGGAAGTCCTTCCACCAGCTATTACCACCAGGGCTTGAAAGTGTTGCACTTTTAAGTGTGCTCTGCGTGCATTGCTCCCGGTGCTACCTCGTGCTTGCTACTTTGTGTTAAACTCTTACATTTCATACAGTGCTGGCAGGCACCATCGTCTGGCTGTCAACTGATAATGCTGGTTGTAATTACCAGTGAAACGTTGTACTCAGATTGTAAATGTTGTGGATTTGTTCTCCAACGCACGGGTGTGCTGTACGAGTAACCAATTGGCATGTTCCGTTTACGTGACAAAACGTACTTATTGGCTGTGGCGGTTTAATGACACATTTACGCGATCTAACACAAACAAAAATCTATAGTATGAACCATTGTTGTAACTGTTTAGTTCACGAATGTGCTACCGCTGTTGCGACTTGGCAATCCGTGTAAAGCTTGAACGCGAATAGCATTGGTACTTCGCGTTTCTGTCGTGTAAAATTCTTTGGAAGAAACTCACCCCAAATATCTCGGATCTGGAAAGCTCAGCAGCCTACATAGTTCTCGGATGTGCTACCACCGTGCACAGATTGTACTCGACCATGGCTTTACGTGATAGGCAGCAGAGAGCAAACAGCCAAATCCATTGTTGTACTGCGATTTCTGTGCTCTCCCAGCCCTCGTCAACCCACCATGAGCATTATGGCATTATGGTGAATTTTGATCAGGTAACCCAGAACCTGCATGGCGTGGGAAGGCCCTCATCTAGTAGTGGATTGACAATGGGCTGCGCGTGGCAAGCGTTATGGAATGTTCAGGTGCTGTGGACGCAAGGCTTTATCAGGATAATTTTACAAGTTGTGTCCTTTGCAACTCGCAAATCCCAACTCCTGCATCGGGGGTGGACAATAATCTGACGTCGCATGCATTTTTTTGATAAAATGTAAACTTTGCGTGCGTGTATGTGTGTTTAGCTGGCGAGTACAGGCCCGCGAGAGAGTGATCAGCACTACACACACGGGCGGCCACTGTCTCCCCCTGTGTGTTCACACACTGCACCAGGTACAAGTCTGTTCTCCCATAACACATGTTTTCAAAGCGCGATCAATGTATTAGGGAACACTTTTTTCTATAACGCGGATGCGAATTGGATATAACGCGGGTGTGAATTGGATATAATGCGGGTGTGAATT